TGCCTTATGTCTAAATGCAGTTGATGTTTTGATTCTATTCCCAGAATAGGAAGTAGGAAAGACACTCGGATTTTGCTGAGTTGGTACTATATTTCTGGGCTATCTATGATGTTTGATAGAATAAGAGTAAGTATTGAGATATGCTTTCTCAAAGCTACATTTACAAATTATAAGAACTGTTATTGGGACTAGTTACCATGTCACACTAGTTACCATGTCACACGCTGAACTCGCCTGTGGTTTGGATTCATGGGGAAGTTTCATATAAATCACTTTCAGTTCTACAAAGCACTCCAAGGCCAAATTCTGGTGATCTGAAGCGCCACAGGCAAAGAGAGCAGAGTACCCCTGTGTACACAATTTTCTCGGTGGCTAAATTTCACCTAGAACATTAAGCAGTCAAAAAGTCAAAAACACTGAACTAATGAAAAGCAGGAATGTTAAAACGTACAATATGTAATTGAATTTAAATGTGTTGCTTGTATCAAAACAAATTTCATGATTATTTGATTTCAGGCTAACCTAATTGAAAATTCTTTGAGATTGTCAGTGGTCAAGAGAAACTGTCGAATATAGTAATCGTCTTGATTAAAATGAGACAGGCAAAGGAGATTTTAAAAATATGTTTGATGAGTATCTTCCATTTAAGCCTGTGGCACACATTTACCATTGGCTTCAGGCACCCACATGGGTAAGCACGGCAATGTTTGTTAAAAATATCGATATTTTGCTTTTGGAAATTAACTTTCATTTTGTGAAATTTTATATTATAATTTACTTACTGCTGATGCCTGAGGTCCTGGGCATGCCCTTACATTTCCTGCCCAGCTAAGTGCCCCCTTTGCTTTCCCTTAGCCCCAGCCCTGCTGTGATACCTTTGTTCTTTTGCAAATGCAGACATTTGACCTACCTTGTCCTCTTCAATTAACTTCCCATCCCCATCTCCTAACTCCTCACATTCCAAAATCAAAGGGAGGGATCTATTTTAAGTGCTTTTGACGAAAAGAGTATATAATTCTAATAAATACACCAGACAAGTGAGTTTTTGAAAACTGTAAGTTTTGCATCTTTCGTAATAAAACTTTTTTAATCTCCCTTTGGCATCCCATCTTGGGTGAAGCCAAAAACTTAAGGAGACAAGCACATGAAAAAATGATGAATTCTCTTCACACTCCTCCAATTTTGATGTTGCATAAAGAGGAGAAAAACCCAAATCAAAACAAAACATTCAGTCCCCAAATATCCCTACAAGTTTGCTCTTTCAAAATAGAAATAATAATAAATATTTGCGTGTTCTTGGTTTTACACTCTTTAAAACTTGTTTCTTTTGCCTTCCAAATCAAATCTTTTGCAGTTTCCACTTGGCCTCACAGGAATCTAAAGCTTTCTTTAGGTATGTGAGCTTGGGGAAAAAAACCAGAAGCTTCAAGGAAAAAAAATTAAAGTGTCGGAGGCGAATAAGGAACATTGCTTTTAAGAGCCTCATGCGCTACTGAGCTAGCGAGACCCTAGCAGCTTTGCTTTTAAAAACAATGCAAAACTTAAAATGGATGATTCTCTCTTGGGCTGTATCACCTGCTACATCACTGTCTCCTGGAAACCGTGAGAGTCTTTGGTAAGTAACTGTAAATGAAACAAGTGGTAAAGTCTGAACTACCCAACTGTTAACACTTATTAGGCATTTATTATAAATGGGGCACTACTTTAAGAAAACACAACTTGCATGAAGTTGATGCTACTTTTATCTCCAGTTTATTGATAGAGAAATGGAGACAGAGAAACAGTAATTAATTTGCCCACCATCACACCGTTAATGGCATCGAAGCTGATATTTGATCTTAGGAAATCTGACTCTAAACTTGAAGCTTGTCACCAGCGTCTAAAATTCCATAAGAATGTGGCACTGATGGATAATTGATATGCCAAAGAAGTCAGCTCCATCTGTTGGCCTGGTGTACTGTAATTTACCGTCACTCTAATCTGTGACTACAGTAATCTCTTATCACTTGTAACCCTACATCATTACTTTCTGACTTAAGTGCCATTTCCCAACCTCCTGTTTAAAAGCCTCATGTCTCCAGACAGAAAACATGTTCACTGTCACACAGCCAGGCCTTTGTTCGCGAACATCCAAGCCTGCTTGCACTCCCATCTCACCAGATCCCTGCAAATCCTTCCTCTTCTCAGAAACCACCCTTGAGATTGCAAGTCACACCTCTTTCTCTTCTCTAAACTCCAAGTGGATTTATGATCTGGAACATTCTTTTGTTTCCTTTATCAACACAAAGATAGCTTTCAAAGGTCAAAAATCACCCACCTCATATCCCTATGTGATTACAAATGCTGTGCATAGCATCTAGTGTGGTAGATCTGAGCCAGAAGTTCTTAGTCATGTCTGCTCAGTGGAACAGTGTGAGGAGCTTTTAAAGTTCCCAGTGCCCAGAGTGCAACCCAAAACAAATGAATCTGCTTCTCTGGGGCTTGGGGTGGTCCATTTTTCTTAAGCTCCCCAGGTGATTGGAATGGACAGGCCAAACAGAACTGCAGACCACTGGTCTTGCACCTATCATCTTGCAGTTTGCAAGTCTGACAGATCCTACAGGCAAGAAAATGCCCAGATATTTTCAGCTTTCCCTATGCATGATGTGGCTCATGGGCCAGCAGCATCAGTATCACCTAGGCACTTGCTAGAAATGCAGATTCCCAGAACTCCACCCCAGGCCTACTGATTCAAAAAGAACATTGTACCAAGATCTCCTGGGGCTCTGTCCACACAGGGAAGTGTGGGAAGTGTGTGAGGAAGGCACCAAGAGCCCACCTGTAGCTCGAGGGATAAGATTCTCAGGTCTCAACAGACCATTAAAAAGAAATGTTCTTTCCTCAACGCATGCACTTTTACTTTGTACCACCTTCATCAGCCTTCAGGGCTGTTCTTTGGCCTGTGCCTAGAGGAAAACAAACAAACAAACAAACAAAAAACTTCTTTTAAGTCTTGCCAACTGTTTTCTATTCTCCGGTAACACTCACAGCTCCCCAGAGCTCACCTTCCTGTCTGGAGGCCGTAACACTCACCTAAGAGATTCATCTTAGGTCGGTTCAGCTAGCCCTTATAGTTGTACATCTGTCTTCCTCTTACAGGGACAGGGAACAATAGAGGCTGGATAATTGTACAGCTTGGCGTACATCCCCCCTCCCTTTTTTCTTAAGACTAAACAAAAATGTTCACGTCTTACCTTGGCATTTATCTACAAAAGCATACTTAAATCCGTATAAAAAGAATTGCTATCAGTGGGCCTTCAGAGTACAAAATGTATCTATCTAGTAATGCCGCACAGAAACAGAATGTTGACAAGTCAAAAAATCAGTGTTTTTTTTTTAAAGTATATGTATTCTGCTTTTTCACAGGGTACCAAGGACACATTATAAATGCAGCTTGATGAGAGATTCACAGAGAAATGCCACCATGGCTGTTTTCATGCACAGAGGAAATAAATGAGTGAGTTTGTTAAAATTCTGGTGGAACATGATCTGTTTGGAAGAAAGGCCACTTGTTAGTTTGAATGAGAACTTACTTCTTGATGATAGTTAGAAATTTGGGAAAAACCTTAAGTACAAGCCCAGTACTGATACCAAAAGCGAGACCATGAAATGCCAGCCCATTTATACTTTGAATAATTTTTTTTCTTGTTCACTCATAGATCTTGGGGCTTGAATCAATGCAGAACATCTTACTTGAACCAGAATCTGGCCTGATAATGATTGGCGCAGACCTGAATTTTTAAAAGTGCATTTGAAAGGGTGATCCAATTATAAGCTCTTTCCTGCTCAGCTGGAAATGGAGTGAAGCTGCATTTAGCAGGGCTATTACTGTAATGGTCTGAGAAAGAAGGTGATTGAAAAATGGGAACTTCCTCTTCATTAAATTTCTCTAAGTAACATAATGGCATTAACGTCTAAAATAATTGTTAATGAACATTAATTAGTCAAATTCAACAACAGTATATAAGAATAACTTAAGGTAGTTCATTGTTTCTACCACAACTGAATAAAGTGTACCACTGACTTCTATATGATTGTGAAAGAAATGATGCTATGAATTTTAAGGATGATGAAACCTGAGGGGGAATGTACCTGAGAATTGTTTAAATTCAGTAGATTAAAAGCTCAACATCAATGACACGTTTGCCAGATAACAACAGCTTTCTGCGTTACAAATTCAGATTTGGTATCTTGGTGGTCATACTGCTCCTAATTAACCATAAGATATTTCCCCCTTAACTAACTTTCCCAATTTCTCAGCATTAGCTTACATTCTGCCTCTGAGCAACTCTTAGGATGAAACTTCAAATCTAATTAATGTAAAACTTTTGTATACTCCTTCAGGGGAAAATGGCAGCCAAGCATAGCCTATAATGTGGCTTGCTTACTCACTGGAAATGTGGGTAGCTATGGGAATCAATGTGCATCTTCATCCAGAGAATACTAGCTACGCATGCTGGGAGAGTCAAGAAAGAGCACACCTCTGATCTCAAATGAGCACCTAGGCCTCTGGGAAGGCCTACTTGTGGTTTGATGATGTGTTGCGGCCTCTGGTAAAGCTGCGCAAGCAAGAGGCCTCAAGGCCCAGCCTAACAGACTCTAAGGCACAGTTTTCAAGATTCTGGAAAGTGAATCAGTGAGATGCATCACACAGTCCCTTGAGATTCTTGTGAGTGATTTAGTGTTTTTCTCCCCCAGTAAGTACAGTCCAAAGAATTTTAAAGGGCTAGAAAAAGCTGAGAGTGAGACAGAAATGTCTTGTAGAGTGGTTCCTTAATTCGATAAGTGAACTGGTAAGACTAGAGCATTTTCTGGATAGGTGGACTGATCGGAGATGCCAGAAAGTTGCTAAAACCCCACTTCAGTCACCCTGAATAGAGTTATGTAAACTTTTAATTCCTTAGAAATGGAAATAGAAATCCCTAGCACGGCTTTAGAGGATGGAAAACTGGCATACTCACGATGACTGGGAAGCCTTCCTTCTGAGCAAATAGTCCACGACATCAGGATCGGTCTCTAACAGGCTGATCAGCACTTCGTTCTGGAGATCGGGGGGAACCTGGAGGAGCAAAGTATTGAGGCATAAATAAAATCATTCCACACAGAGGCAACTTTATGATATCATAAAACAGAACTTTAAAAGTTATAAGAGTGCAGAGTGATTTACTAGTTAAAAGCAAACCAACACCAACCCATACAGCTGGTTTAATTCTTAGGAAAAACAGGATGGTTATCAAATAGTCATATTAAATTCAAAATGTCACCCCTCTTATGCCTGGAGTTGCAACCTAGTCCTTTTAATACCTCTGTTGCACAGAATAGATGTTCCTGGCCTTGAGAAAACAAAATATCATTGTTAAGAGGAATGGTGTCTATAATTTATTGTCCAAATGGAGATATATTCTAGATTTCATACGTTGAATTATGCCAACACAAAAGGCATAAATTCTCATTACTTTGGGCAGTTCTGGAAAATGTGATCAGTTTATTAGGAGGGGAGGCCTGGGGCCCGATGGCTTGCATTCTAACTCCAACACTTATCACCTGTAGGACTTCTGACAAGACAAGGAGGCAAATATGTCAGCTTTCCTACCTGTAAAATGGGAATAGTAATGGACATACAGAGTGGCTTTGGTGATTAAGTGACTTAATTTACACTGAGAAAACAGATTCTGGTAACTGGTAAATATCCCAAAAGAAGCAAAAACACTAACACTACCCATGTACTTGTCATTTTCGTTTGGTGCCTGCCTTCAGCCTTTCTTGTTCATGGTTACCAGCCCCCATTTTGTAGTCCACTAGCAAATGTTTCTCACTTCATAATTTCATGGGCATCCACTAGCATCTTATTAATGAGCATCACATGCTTCTCTAAGCCTGGCCCACATGCAGTGCTTCAGGGGGATGGCCCTGAGTCACCCATGTGGAAATGTTCGATGAGAGAAGGCTGAGGCCAGCCCCGGTTCTTGGTTTTCTACTCCCTAGATCTTGGTAGTGCAACCAGAGGAAACTCCAACTTTTGAAAGAAAATACATTTTGAGTCTGATTCTCTCACACATGGGCTCAGAGACGTTTCTCAAACCACAGAGACAAGTCTTCTGAGAATAAGTGGTTGGTGGAAGAATTTGCCTTCTGCCTCTTGCAGAGCTCAATTGCTCTTGAGCTCTGAGGAGCTGGAAACAATTTATTAATAAAAACAAGGATGAGAAAGCAAGAAAACGCTTTCCTTCTCTCATAAATCAGTACCTCCTACTTCATCCTGAATCTTTATTAATGGCATTTTCAAGTCCCAGTCACATCAGCTTAAACTGTTCACGTTGTATTCCGGCCATTTTGTGTCCTCTCCCCTGCCCCCACAGAGGCAGAGGTCTACTTGATTTCATCTCTGTTACTTCTTTCCACTCTAACTACAATGACCCAAGTTCAAGGCCTCATTACCCCTTTGTAGTGGTCATCTGTTGGCCATTACAAATCCCATTTTCCTCTTCTTGTAACAGTTATATCCCAAATTTCCTCTGGAAAACCAACTGCTCCCCAACCCTCAGTTCAAGGGTGAAGGGTGTGCTCTAGATGAAGTTGCCTGACCATTCCATTCCTAGACCACGTGGTGGTCTAGGAAATGAGCCTCTATGTCCATTAGAGGCAATGCGAAGCCATGAGAATCTCTCTGAGGCTTATGAGAGAAGGGGCACAGTGCCTGCAGCCACATGAGGTCTGATGACTGTGCTGACAAATAAGCAAGCATAAGAAATGGAGAACAATTATCCAAGCTATCCTGCACATATTTTTCCCTTCTTTCTTTTCTTTTCTACCTCCTCCCAGTTGTTCCTTTCCTTTGAATAGTTTACTCAACAGTATCTATTGCACCTTTAGGATTTTGTTTACTATTTCAGGTTCTTATACTAGGGACACAATACGATGTTTACACAGGATAGATTGGATAATTGCACTACGGATTTCTACTAGTATATTGAAAGGAACAGTTAATGCTTCATTTTGTTCTTTTGCTTTTAATTTTTGACCAGTTTTGGATGCTTACATCTGGTAATCTGGATAACTGATTGGAAGACAACAATATGCAGTATAACAACCATTGGTCACTTCCTAGCATCTTGTTTAGTGAAATTCTGTATCATTTCTAATGTGTGTTTTTTTTTTACTTTTTATGCACTTAAATTCATGCACCTACAATATTTAAATGACAATGGAATACTCTTCACTGACAAAAATAAACAAAAAAGGGGGATACCAATGAAGGACCATTTTGTATCTGTATATACAAAATAGTTAGGATAGATATACAGCTACTTTCTCTTAATTCAATCAGAAGAAAGATCTGTACTAATAGTGTTTGGACAGGATATCATGTCTGCATCTTGTGCTATGAATAACGAGTGCAAGACAACAATATGCAATGTATTAATTATTGAAACTATCTTATTAATCAGTTTTGAAACTCTCATTGCTATTTGTTTCTCAACAAAATTAATAAAATATTATAAAAATATCTAAAAAATAAAAGAGAAATGGATAAGGAGAGGCAAAAGAAAGGTTACCTTGGTAGCATTTGAGTCTGAGGTCAGGATATGCCTGAAGCTACTCTATCTTTTCAACCTTGTAACTGTATTAGCCCTAACGTTTCCTATGCTACTTTGAATTTATAGAAGAAGGGAAGCATACATATTTGATGAATCATTCATGTAAAAGCTTACAAACCTGTGTACTATTTCCCTAAAATGTGCATCAGAGGCTTTCTCCACGTAGATGTCTGAACGATCTGATCAAGATACTCACTAGCTTGGAACCCTTCCCATTCCTACAGCTGCAGCCCTCTATTTTCTCACTCCTCAGTAAAGGGTTCATGTCTTCTCTCCTGGAAATCATCTTCCCCCTTCCACTTCCTCTACTTCAGCACCATGGTGCTGATTGCCAGGCCCTTTTTCAGACTCTTCCATCCATTCACTGCATAGTCCTTGGTGAATGCTTCTTGCATGCCAGGCAATGAATGCTGGACTCACTTACAAATCAAGCAGTCAAAATCCATGGAGAGCTGACAGTAAATCCGGGGACATGGGCGTGCAAGTACAAGGAAAGCATAGCATGGATCATGTGGAGAAACACAAGCCAAAGAAGGGTGGTAAGAAATGCTGGGGGAAATGGTGCAGGGTCAAATAGGATGGTGAATTCACATAGAAGCAAGCATTTTATCAGAGAACCAAAGCTCATAAGGAGTTGTTGACAATCATTCCGAACAGAAGAGACAAGACAATCCGGAACAGTAAGGAGGTCGGTGAGGTTGTGAAATCATGAGGAAGGGAAGAGACAGATAGGAGCATGGAGGGTCAAGGAAGCAGGGCCACATAGCACAGAATCCTACGGTTCATGATTAGTACTTTAGTGGGGAACCACTGGAGATTTTGAGCTGATGACTAATAGCAATTGTCATTAATCAGGCTGCTTAGTTGGAATTAGGTTTCAGGGAAGCCACGGGTGAAGCAAGGTGAGCAAACAGGAGCTTCTGCTGGATCTAAATCTGTGATGATGATGCTGAACCAGGACAATGAGATAATGGAAAATACTTGGATCTTGAAATTAATGTAGGTACACACAACAATTTACTGTATAGCCACCTTATTGGATAGAAAAAAAGAATGAAAGGGAAAAGTAAGAAAAAGGAGAAAGGATGCCCAACATTTTATGATCTGAACAAATGGAATGAAGAGGTTGCCACTGACTTTCTCAGAGAAGCTACAGGAAGAAAAGCCTGGAAGGAAGTTCAAGAGTTTGGCTTTATTTTTTTGAAGCAGGACCTGCCTATGTGATTGAGACTGGCCTTGAACAAACAGTGATCCTCCTTCCTCAGTCCCTCTGAGTCCTGGGAAACAGGTGTGTGCCATCATGCTATGCTATAAGTTTGGCCTTGAAATAAAATGCTGAGAGGTCTGTGAGACAGTCGAGTGGAGATATCTAGCAGGTCGTGTTGGGAATAAAGATTTGGAATTCAGGTGAGTAGGTTCTAGCTGCACAAGGAACTTAGGAGTCACATATAAATGGAATTTAACAACTGCCCCACTGAGAAGGCCTTCTATCTAGAAAATATAAAGAATTCAAAGACCTAACCCAAAGAGGGGCATCTGAGATGAATATTAACTTCTCAAGTGAAATACAAATGGCAAACAAATACATGAAAAAATGTTCAGCATCATTGGTCATTTGAGAAAAGCAAATGAAAACAACACTGAGATTCCATCTTACCCAGAAGGAATAGCTAACATCACGAAGTCAGCCAATACCAAATGCTGGAGGGGCTGTGGAGAAAAAGGAACCCTTCTCCACTGTTGGTGGGAGTGCAGACTGGCACAAGTACTATGGAAATCAGATTGGCGATTCCTTCAAAAGCTAGGATTGGAGGTCCCATTCAATCCAGCTATTCCCCTCATGGGTATTTTTCTAGAAGAACTAAAGTCATACCACAGCAATATATGTGTACCCATGTTTATAGCAGTATAATTTGTGATAGCTAAATCTTAGAAGCAACATAAATGCCCATTAGCTGAGGAATGGAAAAAGAAGATATGGCATTTTTACACAATGGAGTATTATTCAGCTATAAAAAGGATAGATATGAGGCTTTTGTCCAGAAATGGATGCAACTAGAGACCATACTCTTAAATGAAATAAATCACACCCGCATGTGCAAACACCATGCTGTCCACTTAGTGTGAGAATCTGAAAGAGTCAAATGTGAAGGGTACAATAGATACTGTGAAAAGGGAATGAACTTGTTCAAAAGGAAGGAATTACTAAGACAAGGAGGACAGGAGAGGGGGTGGGGAAAGGTATGTATGTGCGGAAGCAGCATGACTTGGATCATTGTACTGTGAATTTCTACTGGTTTGTGGAAAGGAGCCATCACTATTTAACTTTTGTTTGTTTATTTTCTTGTCTTCTTTCTTATTTTTTTCCTATATCTCCCCTCTTAATTTCTTATAACTTTTTTATTTTTTCTTTCTTTTTGTAATTTCGCATGCATGTATCTGGTAATCTGAACAACTAATG